GTCTTCATTGTGTTCAAGCACCTCGATAATCATGGAAACATCCTGAGATGCAATACTGACAGCCCAGAAGATGGCTAATAATTTCATCTTACTAATCATAGCCCATGTAAGATGACTAGGTTCTTGATGAGTGTCATCTATCACATGGCTGTGTGGGAGGTCAGGGTAATGAAGTGAATGGACCAAAATGATCTCAATTATATGTGCCCCTGTGTGGACCAAAGGTAAATAACAGGCCACTGTGATTTCCATTGACTTTCAACTGTTGTCACTATTACGCTCCCTCAGACTTGTGGCAATTGGCCCTTAGCAGGCCTCCTTTGAGTACAGTTTGCTATAGGATAGTCTACAGTCCAATACTACCTTCGTGTCAATCCACTGCTCATTAGTTTTGAGTAGCTTACTGTTTCCTACTTTACTAGGGCTATACTTCCCTGTCTCAGGCTCCCCTCCAATTTTACTCAGCCACATACACCAAAATCCAATCATACTCCTTCACTGTGTACAGTCTCTTTTTCACTGGGATCCAGTTTCCCCCTATTTGTGATAATTGCATATTGTATGTGTTTATTTGTTACCTTTTTCACACAGGGCATTTCTTCCACTCCTTTCTATACTGTCTTTCTAAAGTATGTGATTGCCCCAATCCAATATGTCATCCCAGGGTTTATCCAGCTCAGGGCACTGGTTCAATCTTCTCATGCACCACCAGCTCCACAAGCTCTACAGATATCATCATGTTCAGGATTGTAGTCTTTTCCTTAAAAATAAGAGTGACCCATAGATAACTCCTATATCCTGCACAGAGCTATCTACTGCATACTTTCTCAGTCAGCCTTCCCTAGATATGTCTTTCTTTGATATATATATATATGTATATATATATATACACACACACACACACACACACACACACACACACAGATATACATTCTCTAAAATATATATTTGATAGCACCATCATCACCTGATAGAATTCCATATTATTTATTTCTACAGCAAAAATGTGAGATCCATGAAGGCAGAGGCTTGCTTCATCTGTCCTGTCATATTTGGCATGCATAAGAAAGCCTTGTATATAGTGTGTCCTCACTTATTTTTAGTAAATTGCTGAACAAGTTCTTACTGACTGAACAACTCATTGCCCATGCTATAAGAAACATGCATATGTTAGCCACAGTTTCAAAACCTGGATCTTTATATGGAGCTCTTCCTAGCCGCCATAGAGAGGAAAGTATGGCTGAGTATCAAAGTGATCCATTTTGTAGGAACAGTGCATATTCATGTCAGGAGAGCTATGTAACCAAGGCTGGGTGAAAACAGCCCAGACTGTGAGGGTTCTCCTGGAACAGTTCTTGAATATAGAAAGCAAATGGCCTGGCAGTATCATAAGGCATCTTAGAGGAGGTCTAATGGCTTACATCTGCATGGAAAATGGTTGTCAGTGGTGCCTCAGGGGTGGGCACACTGCTGTGCAGCAGTGTGGCTTGCTTGCTAAATGGAATCATAGTTTATTGAGTAGCGAAGAACAACACCCATCTGCCTAGGAATTACATTGACAAGGTGCAAAGGCAAGAGAATATTGTATAAACCTTATTTACAGATCAATAGATAATCTTTCATACATAAAAGGTCAGCTCCAGGATGGCAAAGCAGAAGAAAAAGAAATATTGCCTGCAAATAAAATATTGACTTAAAAATCCATTCAGATGAGTTCTTAGGTGCATATTCCCCTGGTTTAAGAACATTTCTTTATTTATGAGCTTTTTCTTAACCACTTCAGGTTCCTCTGTGAAGCATGAAGGCATTGATGAAGAGTGCTGATTTCTAGTTGTCCTGAATTCCATGCCATCAAGTGAACAGCGTGAAATGGAATCAGTATGTAGAGCTTCAGAGTGTGTGTATGTGGCAATTAGGATGCTCCAGTCAAATGGCACCTCATCCCCGCCCCTTGGTAATTTCCCGCTTTTGGTTGCTTTGATGCTAAATATTTATCCTGGCTTACTAAAGCAAAAACCAAAGTGCCAACAACAATGTTAGAAACAAACAAACAACAGCTCATCACTACTGAATTTCCCCTTCCATTTTGCACGTTTCCTTTTTCTTGAAGCAAGTTTTCACCACCCCAAGAATATGTAAAATTCTTGTCTCTCTCTCTCTACCTGGCTGCTGAATCATAAAACTGCATGGATGGCTGCTGTGAATAGAATAAGCATAGAAGAGGTCAACCTATGTCCCTCTCTTGCTTATAACATCAAGTCCTAATCCCCCTGTGACTGTATCTGGAGAGAAAATATTTAGGACACAATTACATATTGGTGAGGTGATAAGAGTGGGACCCTAATCCTACTAGTTTGTGTAATAAGCAACACCAGAAGCTTGTTCATTTTTTCTTTCTATGAGTGTATGACCACTCTCTCTTCCACCTGAGGATGAAGAGAAAGAGGCCGGGAAGAGACTTGGTATAGCAGTATAACCTTCTAATGACTTGGTTTTGGAATTCCAAGCCTCCATCTTTGAAATAAACTTCTTTTGCTAAGCTACCCTATATTGTGTAGTTTGCTATGATTGCCAGATCTAACTAATGCAGAGTGGGAGCTTAAATGCATGCTCTTTTCCTGATAGAACCTTAAAGATGAGAGGACCCACTGTGCATTTGTTAGCTGTCTTGGTGGAAAATATTTCAGAAGAGCAGTAGTCTGAGCAATGAACAGGTGCATTGCTGGCTGAAGGACTGTTGGAGGGTGGAGTTGTTTAACCCTCCAAGGAGGCTCATGTACTGCGTGCTGAAGTGGTATGCACATCTGGGGGACAGTTTCGTTTTGCCAGAAGTCAAAAGGCTTAGAATACACAATTCCTATTCTCAAATTCCTTATGGGGGAGCCACAGGACTCCAGATGTGAGATGATTCAGTACAGTATAGAATTATGTCATTCCTATGCAATAGGTGTTTTTTTTGTGACTTTTGTTAAAACCCTAACCACAGTGTGATGTAATAAAAGCAGGTGTAGACATGTGATTTTCTCTTATTTCTTTACATATATTCTTCTAAGAGGTCATGTGAAGGTGCAATGGAAAGACTGCTGTCTACATACCAGGAAGAGGATTCTCTCCAAGAACTCATCAGGAAGCACCTGATGTTAGTTGTCTAGCCTCCAGAAAACTGAGAAATACTGATTCCAGCTACCCAGCCTATAGTATTCTGTTCTAGCAGTGTGAACTGATTAAGACATTTTGCTGTGGATGTTTTTGTTTTTGTTTTGAGTAGACAATAATGAAATGTCTCCCATTTTCTGTCCTCAGAAAGCAGGTTTAAGATACACTGAGGAATAATCTCCCTAAACACAATGTGGTTGCAACCAGATACTGCCATCACTCTGTCAACAGCCACAGGAATCAGGTAGGATCAATAGAGGATCCATTTGAGCATAGAGATTTAAGAAAATTCCCAGGTTGTATGTCCATGAAGCCAGCCTTTTCCTGAGACTGGTTCAAGAGGAAAGTTCCCTTAGAATGAGAAAGGACACAAAGAGGAGGCTAAATTTGATGACAAGGGACACGGATTTCATCTTTCTCATAGGTCAAAGGCAGAACTTTGTCATTTCTATTCTACTGAAGGCCCCCTAGTCCCTTTCACTTGTCATATAATGAATGCATATCTATCTTTATCCTCCAAGTCCCTCCTTTGTTGAGGGTCCCAAGTATGAAGAATGAATGGTGCTGGCCATGATATGTAGGCCAATACTAATCCAACTCTAGTTTTTTTTTATGATACTCAGGATCAATTCAAGATGTCACACTGTTAGGCAAGCCCTCTATAACTGAGCTGTATTCCCAGTCCTGGATTCAAATTCCAGATGTTTAGTTTCAGAGTTTGGAATGATCTTCTTACTCCTCATTTATTTGCTATGTTGTATTCCTTTTTTGGAGAGGCTATTATGTGAAAAAAAGCTGTTGAATTCAGGCTGCTTCTTTGAGCTTCTAAGCCTAATAAAATGAATCAGAAGAGATAGTGTGCTATTCAGGTAGTATGTGAAGAACCTTGTACTCCTCAGATGTCTCTCTTGGAACTCAGTGAAAATGAGCCTACATTTAACATGGTGGAGGCAATCATTATTGGGAGGAGAGCTGAGTCATTTCAACAGGGACCATTGAGAATGCCCCCCTCCCCCATGACTTGCTGAACATCTAGAGATGCATGAGTAAGTTTAGCTGACATCAGGCAAACCAAGTCCTAGTCAGCAGATTGACTTGGCTGAACAACTGAGACAGGTAAAAAAAAAATGATAGATGGTTGTTGCTTTAATCATCTATGCAGCATCATTACATTATCAACCTATATGCATTATTATTTCCATTCTCTTGATGAGACAAGCTGAGAGCGTATCCTTGCCTCTGATAAACAGCTAGAGAATGGACTCAGAAAGTTTAACTCCAGAGTCTAGATTTTTGTCTGCTACTTTGTAAGATCTCATCATAACACTAAAGTATCTGTCAAGCCCTTGGCTAATGTAAAAGTCATAGGATAGAGTTCAGACATCAGGAATCCCTCTGCTGATAAAATGCCATGACAGTTATTGACCGAAATGTACAAAATGAAGCACTGCAATCTACCTGAGGAAAAAAGTACTTAAATGCAAAACAAGTGAGACAAACAATGTCTTTGAAGTCAAGGTTGCAAAATGAAGGATAACAGAAAGTTTGACTGCATCTCATTAACCTTAAATTATGACCTAGTTCTGTAAGAGGTTTGCATGATGATCCTGTAAATGCAAAGACAGCCCTCACTTGAAAATGAAAACAAAATGCAATTACGGGAGTGGAATTTTCCCATTAAATGAAACTAAATCCACTACCATCTGTCCCCCACCTTTGCTTTGGTAACCCTTGCTCATCATTGATGAAAAAGTGACTATCCCCACAGTAGCAATTGGAGATTTTACTAAACAAAAATGCACAATTTCATAACAGAAGGAAAGCCATAATGTATGAGTTCTTACAGATATCGTAGATTGGGAAGGTTCTGGAAGGCCTCAGGATTGATGTACAGCAGAGTGTTGGCCTTTTCAATTCTACTGTAAAAGAGGGAGGTATGTATAAGTGACTTAAACAGCAAGGAACATCATGGTATTTGTCATGTTATGCAGAGCATGTCAGTAAACAATCGATCAAGTCATTTGTTCATCCACCTATGTGTCTATTTTTATCCATCTATCCAGCTATCATTTCAGCAAATATGGAGCAAGCATGCAGGACACTTTATTGTATAAATTTGTGCAAACTGAGTACTAACCCTGCCCATTTAACACTCATTGATTGGTTCCCATCCTCCAGTCCATTTTTAATTAAGAGGAGAGCTGAGGATTTTATTAGTAGGAATCTCTCAGAACCAGGATAAACTAAGAAGGGGCGGCTGACACTAACATTGGGGAACTGAACTAGTGAACTAGGTGTGAAGACAAGAGAAGGATACTCAGACCAACCAGAAAGGGTGAAAAGAAGATGAGGTGAGGGAAGGGAAATAGGTGAAGCAGCAAAAAGACTAAAGAAATAGAAATGAAATGGCAAAGACAAAACAACATGTGGAAGAAGGGTCACTTCTGTCTCTGATTTAAAGTATCAAGTTCCAGCACCTGGAAGATGGCCAGGTCCCCCCCTAGTCCTGCCCCCTCACCCTGTTCTGTAGACTGAAGGGGCTCCTCCCAGCAGATGGAGAATGGTGACTTCCACCCAGCCGTTTTAGCCTGTGTTATGTCCTGATCAATAGTCTGGAAGTGAGACTCTTCTTCACATTTGGATTCCCGCAGAGAACCTACCTTTTTTTCTCATCTTGTTGGATCAATGTATATTTGCAGAGATACTCTTGTTAATTACTTCCTTCCTGTTTCATTAGCTTTTATGTTGCAGTAACCTGTAGCTAACCAGAGCCAAGTACCAGGCAATTAATCATTTTAAACATAGTCAGTGTTACATGGGGATGAGTACCTCTCCATGCAGGAAGATATGCAAGAGCTGTTTCATTAGCCACTCTTCCCACTGGACGGCACCAATGGGTGCTTCACACTGTGCCTTTGGTTCATTTCTCTGATATTCTTTGTGGACTTTGAGGCCCCATCTGGTTTATTTTCATAACTATAGCAAGATGAGGGCAGGTGGAGAGAGAACAAGGGAACAAGACAGTAATGAAAACAAGGATGAATGAAGTAGGAGGCAGAATGGGTAGAAAGAAGAAAAAAGCAGTCTGTCAACATGGGCAGACTGTGATTTCTAGATAAACTCCTTATTAAACACACACACACATACACACAGTCATACACACACACACACACACACACACACACACACACACCGAGACACACAGACATACATACAGACCCACAGAGACATACACATACACACTGACACACACAAACACCCCCCGTACCTCCCTACAACTGTACAACATTTTCTTGGAAATTCCAAATATTTCTTTGCATAAAACAGCTTATGAGATTTTCTAATGGTAAATGAGATTATTTTATCAGTGTTTCCTAATGTTATTTGATCACAAAATACTTTTCTTCTTTATTGAGCACCAAATAATTTCCTGGATTCATAGTAACAAATTTTGAACTGACAGTCTTAAATTTTTGGTTGTGTACCTAGCCTTTGACAGTTGAACCATCCCTCTACTACTTTAACTGACAATCTTGACAGTCTCTGTGGCCTTGGCATCCTATCAGTCTATGAATTATCTTCCGGTCATTAGACACTGGTATGGAATTATATTTATGTGTTGCACGTGTATACAACTAGAATGTCAACAAGAGAAAGCAAGTTTCTCTACATTAGTAGATCAACCAAGGGTCATTACAATGTAATTGCTTTATGCTGGTTGATATGCTAAATTGAGCTGATGTTTATCATGTCCTTTATTCATCATAGTGACTCTGTGTCTGCGAGTGTGGATTTCACTCTAGTTTTGCAGATGAGAAACTGAAACCTCAGATGGTCTGTGTCTTGCGTGTGCAGAGGCATTTCTCAGAGTGGGATTTATTTTGGCCTTTGTGGTTGTAACACTGAATGAGGTGATGGGATGGAGGAGGTTTTTCATCATCGTAGGGCCAAGGTTCTAGAACCTGTGACATAAAACAACAAGAAGAAAATTGACTGAAGGAGTCAGTGAATAGAACGAAGCTAAACTCCAGGCTGCTGCTTGTGTCTCCAGCCAGAGACAACGAGATTCCCTTTTAGGATGCCTCTGGTATCTTGTAATGCTGATCTATGGATTTGAGGATGGAGCAGAGTCAGAGCCTCCCAGGAATACTGAAGGACTTTAGGGCTCTTTCTAAGAGTCCTGACCGACCTGTGCACTTACCTGTGCATGCGCGCGTGCACACACGCGCGCGCGCGCGCGCACACACACACACACACACACACACACACACACACAGAGGCATGTTGCTTACATTTCATGCAACTTGGGTAGGTTGGAGAACACATCTGCCTCTATTACTTCCAAGACGTCATTCTGAGAGATCTCTCTGCAGCAAAGGAAAGATAATTCAGGTTAGTTCAGTTTTTCTCCATAGACTTTTTAAGAACTCAACTAGATAGAGCCTTGTGCCCAGGAGGATGCATAAGACACAAAACTGCTTTTCTTTCCTCAAGTCAGCTATAGCAATAAGTCTAAACCAACACACTAGATGCTAATGTTTACAGAACAGCGGGAAAATAAATTCGAGGCAGTGGTTCATTTGGAGATTACACATTTTTCAGTTGTAGAAACCAAAGCCCGAAGGAGTTACTCAAAGGCATTTAGGGAAATATACAGGATGAGATAAAATTAAGTTCCTTGGGTCAGGGGTCAGCAAACTTTCTCAGGTCCATCTAGTAATTATTTTGTGGATCTTTTGATCTATGTTGAAACTACTATAAACAATAAAGATTCAAAGAAACAATAGGAAGTGGAGTGTGTGCCAATACAATTTTATTAAAAATGGAAATGAATTTAGCCAGTGGGCTGTGATTCATTAAACATGCTGTAGACTATGGAGCCAGGTTCTTTGTTAGACTGGCTATAGTATTGGAGAATGTAGATATTCACTCTTGCGCCCTATTTCCTTTCTCCCTGATTCTCCCTTGTCATTTTTGCTGTCTTCCTTATCTTTATTTTACAGTTTTTGTTATACTAAAATAAATGACATATTCAAAATGGCAGTTTGGTTCATATATGCCCATATATATATATATGCATATATATCTTTCTTGCCTCACTCCTATTACCCTTCATTGCCCCACCCCCTTCCTGACATCTTCCCCTGCCAAGTTATACCATTTTCTGCTTTCATAGCACAAATATTCCACTATCCTCTTGTCCCTCCCCCTGCTCTCTTTAGACATTTTCTTTCCTCTGATGGTCCCACTTGTTCTTTCATGTCCTACACACACATACAGATACAAATTTAATCTACACACTACAAGTATCATGTGATACTTGCCTTTCTGAGTATGGCTTCCATTAACACAATGAACTTTCAGTTGTATCCACTTTCTGGTGATTTCTATGATTTCACTTTTCATTACAATTGAGTTAAATTTCATTGTGTATATGTACCACATCTTCTTTACCCACTGCTATACTTGAGGCTGGTTCCTAATGGTGACTTTTGTGAATACTGTATCGATAAACAAGGGCAAATGACTGACTTAGGACCTTTTGTGTATATCCTAGGAGTGAGTAGCATCACTAGATCATGCTGTATTTCTATTTTTAAGTGCATTTCTATTTTTAATTCTTTTCTTAAAATAAGATTTATTTGTTTATTATGTATATAGTATTCTGTATGCATGCATACATGTTTGCATACCAGAAGAGGGCACCAAATCTCATTATAGATGGTTGTGGCCCACCATGTGGGTGCTGGGAATTGAACTCAGGCCCTCTGGAAGAACATGCAGTGCTTATAACCTCTGAGCCATCTCTCCAGCCACTTATTTTTAATTCTTTTGAGGAGCCTCCATATTGATTTCCATAGTGATAACTCCAGTCTACACAATCATAGTGATGTATAAAGTTTCCATATTTTCCACATCCTTGCCAGAATTAGTTAATTGTTTTTTGAGGATAGTGATTCTGAATGGGTGGGGTGAGATGGAATATTAAAGCTGTTATATTTTGAAGTTCCATGATGGTTTAAGACTGAAAATTTAAAAATATTTATTAATCATTTGCATTTTCTCTTTGAGAACTATTTGGTTGATTAATACATTCATTGACTGGAGCTTTGTTGTATTTGTTTCTTTGTTTGTTTATTTATTTTTAAGTTTTTTAAAAATTAATTTTGTATTCAAACCCCAGTTCTCCCTCCCACCCTTTCTTTCACTTCCCCTTGCCTCACCCTCCCCTGAGCCTACCCCAATCCACTCCTCCCACAGGCTAAGGGCTCCCATGGAGAGTCAACAATGCCTGGCCCATTAAGTTGAGATAGGACAAAAGGACAAAGCCCCTCAAAGGCTGAACATGGTATCCCGCCATAGGGAATGGGCTCCAACAAGCTAGCTCATGCACCATGGATAGATATTGGCCCTTTGCTCAGGGGATCCTCAGGTAGACCCAGCTACACAACTGTCTCCCACATGCAGAGAGCCTAGTTCAGTCCCATGGAGGCTCCATGGCTGTTGGTCTAGAGTTCCTGAGTTCCCACAAGTTTGGTTCAACTGTCTCTGTAGATTTCCTGTTCATGAGCTTGGCCTCCCTTGCTCATCTATTGCCTCCTCTCCTTAACTGAATTCCCAGAGCTTGGCCCGGTACTTGGCTGAGGATCTCTGCATCTGCTTCCATCAGCTACTGGATGAAGGCTCTGTGATGACAGTTGAGATATTCACCAGTCTGATTACCAGGGAAGGCCAGTGCAGTCACCCTGTCCACTATTGCTTAGAGTCTTAGCTTGGGGACATTCTTATGGATTCTTGAGAGTTTCCCTAGCACCAGGTTTCTCCCTAACCCCATAGTGTCTCTCTCTATCAAGATATCTCTTTCATTGTTCTCCCTTTCCATCCCTCTCCCAACTTAACCATCCAATTCCCTTATTTTCTCATCCTGCATTCCCTCCCTTTTACACCCCCTTCCAAGGTTGACCCTCTTAGGTTATTCCTTGTTACCTAACTTCTCTGGAGCTGTGGATTGTAGTCTGGTTATCCTTTACATATAGCATCCACTTATGAGTGAGTACATACCATGTTTGTCTTTCTGCAACTGGGTTACTTCAGGATGTTTTTTCCTAGTTCCAGTTATTCACCTGCAAATTTCATGGGGTCATTGTTCTTTTTGTTTTGTTTTGTTTTTTGTTTTTTATTTTTTATAACGGAGTAATACTCCATTTTGTAAATGCATCACATTTTTAAAAGTTCATTCTTCAGTTTAGGGGCATAAATATTGTTTTCAGGTTCTGGCTATTACAAATAATGCTGCTATGAACATTTTTAAGCAAGTGCCCTTGTGGTATTCATCCTTTGGGTATATGCCCAAGAGTAGTATCACTGGGTCTTGAGATTGATTCCCAATTTTCTGAGAAACTGCCATACTGATTCCCAAAGTGGCTGTACAAGTTTGAACTCTCACTAGCAGTGGAAAATTGTTCTCCTCTCTCCACATCCTTTCCAAAACAAGCTGTCCTTAATATTTTTGATCTTAGTCATTCTAACTGGTGTAAGATGGTATCTCAGAGTCAGTTTGATTTGCAGTTCTCTAATGATTAAAGATGTTGAGCAATTCCTTAAATGTCTTTTGGCTATTTGATATTCTTTCTTTGAGAATCCTTTAAAGCTCTGTACCCCATATAAAAAATTGGATTATTTTGCATTTTGATGTGTAGTTTCTTGTGTTCTTTATATATTTTGGAGATCAGTTCTCTGTCAGATGTGGGGTTGGTGAAGATCTTTTCCCATTCTGTAGGCTGTCACTTTGTCTTATTGACAGTATCCTTTGTCTTACAAGAAGCTTTTCAGTTTCAGGAGGTCCTATTTATTGATTGTTGCTTTCAGTGTCTGTACTACTGGTATTATACTTAGGAAGTTATCAGCTGTACCAATGCATTCAAGGCTACTTCCCACTTTCTCTTTTATCAGGTTTGGAGTGTCTGGTTTTAAGTTGAGGTCTTTGATCCACTTGGACTTGAGTTTTGTGCATGGCAATAGATACAGATATATCTGCAATCTTCTACATGTCAGCATCCAGTTATGCTAGCACCATTTGTTGAATATGCTTTCCTTTCTCCATAGTATCATTTTGGCTTCTTTGTAAAAAATCAGGTGTTCATATGTGGGTGCATTAATGTCAGGGTCTTCAGTTCTATTCCATTGATCCACTTGTCTGTTTTTATACCAAGCTGTTTCTTTCTTTTTTATTACTATAGCTCTATAGTAAATTTTGAAGGCAGGATGATGATGCCTCCAGAAGTTCCCTTATTGTAGAGAATTGCTTTAGCCATTCTGGGTTTTCTGTTTTTCCATATGAAGTTGAGTATTCTTTCAAGTTTTGAGAAGAATTATGTTGGCATTTTGATGGGAATTGCATTGAATCTCTAGATTGCTTTTGGTAAGATTGCCATTTTTATTTTGTTGATCCTACCTGTCCAAGAGCATGGGGAGATATTTCCATTTTCTGATATCTTCTTCAATTTCCTTCTTTACAGACTTAAAGTTCTTGTCATAAAGGTCTTTCACTTGTTTGGTTAGAGTTATCCCATGCTATTTTATACTTGTGGCTATTGTAAAGGGTGATATGTCTCTGACTTCTTTTTTGACCCATTTATTATTTGTATATAGGAAGGCTACTGATTTCTTTTAGTTAATCTTGTATCTCAATACATTGCTGAATGTCTTTATCCACTGTAGGAGTTCTGAGTAGAATTCTAGGGGTCTCTTATGTATACTATTATATCATCTGTGAATAGTGAATAGTAATAGTTTGACTTGTTCCTTTCCAATTTGTATCCCCTTGATCTCCTTTTGTTACCTTATTGCTCTAGCTAGAACTTCAATTGCTGTATTGAATAGACATATAGAGAGGGGGCAGCCTTATCTTGTTCCTGATTTTATTGGAATTGTTTTGAGTTTCCATTTAATTTGTTGTTGGCTGTGGGCTTGCTTTAAATTGCTTTTATTATGAAGGTTTAATTTTTAGTTCTTCTTTGGTTCTAGATATTGCTCTCATGTCAGATGGAGAGGTGGCAAAGCTTTTCTCCCAGTCTGCAGTGTGTCTTCCCTCTCTCTATTGTTTACTTTGTTGTCACAATCTAAATAATTTCATAGCATTTTTTTGTGGGGGTCAGTTTTGGGAATATTGGAGTCCTATATCTTGATCTATTTTTACCTGTGTTTTCATCTAACAACTTCAAAGCTTCAGGTCTTACATTCATGTCATTAATGATTTTTGAATTGGATTAGTTGTTATGCATGATGTCATAGATCTGTTTTTATTCTCTTAACCAATTACTTCAAAAATAAACATGGATTAAAACCTGCCCCCTTTCATGCTGTT